ATTTTATTTTATTTTATTTTATTTTATTTATATCCCGCCTATCTAATCAATTGAGACTACTCTAGGCGGCTTACAGCAGCATAAACAACAACAATATGATTAAAAACAATTTACATAAGGGGGACTTTCAGCAAGATGGGACAAACACTGGGAGAAGAAGGAAAAGGGATTAATGAAATATCACAAAATTACATAAATCTTCAAATGAGAATGTAAAAACCAGAAAAATAGAGTAAAAATAAATAAAGAAGAAAAAAAATAAGAAGAAAGAATCAATTATTGACTAGAGGGAAGGCCTGAATAAACATCCATGTTTTTAATTGGCTTTTAAAGATATCCAGCATAGGGGCCTTGTGAATCTCTGGAGGGAGGTTGTTCCAGAGGCGAGGAGCCACCACTGAGAAGGCCCGGTTTCTAGTTCTTTCCTTCCAGGCCTCTCTCGGCGTCAGGCTCCTCAGCCTCACATCCTGACTCGCGCGGGTGATCCGGGTAGACCTTGGTGGGATTAGGCATTCCGCCAAATATCGAGGACCATTTAGGGCCTTATAAATAAGCATTAAAACTCTGAAGTTGATGCGGAACCGAATGGGCAGCCAATGCAGTGCGGCCAGAGTAGGAGAAATATGCTGGTATTTTCTCACTCCACTAAGGAGTCTGGCCTCCGCGTTCTGCACCACCTGAAGTTTCTGCATCAGCCTCAAAGGCAGCCCCACGTAGAGTGTGTTACAATGGTCTAATCTTGAGATTACGAGTGCATGCACCAAGGTAGTGAGCACCACCACCACCACCACCACCACCCCCGTATTGAGGTAGGGTCGCAGCCGGGCAATCCGCCTGAGATGGAAAAGGCGGTACGGATTACTGACGCCACCTGCGTTTCCATGGTGAGCACCAGGTCCAGATGGATCCCCAAGCTGCAAACCCCACTCTTAGCGGCCAAGGTTACCCCCTCCAAATGTGAGAGAGTCACCAAAGCCGCCAACCACGGGGGAACCCACCCTCAGAACCTCCATCTTGTCCAGGTTCCGCCTCAGCCCATTGTCCTGCATCCATTGCAGTACGGTCCCGTTCTTTCTTCTTGTACACTGCCCCATTAGTACAAGCGCTCTCAATGAGAGAAGGGGGTATTCGTATTTCTATACACCTATCCCTGCACAGGTGGACTTAACGAGGGGCCCGCCCCTGGGGCCTACCGGTCCACTCATGTATCCGCCGGCGGCCTCATTCATCCTTCCAATCGGTCCCAGAGTGCCACTCTCTTCCTGCTTGCCAGGGGCTACGCTAGGCAAGGGGTGGAAGGGCAAGTCTCCCTGCACGGCTGCTGAGTGGCCACGGGAGCAGAGCTCTGGGAGCGATGGGAAGGAGGAGCAAGGTCACTGGCGGCGGCGGACACATGAGTGGACAGGCTGGCTGCAGGGGCCAGCCCCTCGTTAAGTCCACCTGCGCAGGGATATTTGTATCCCTATAGGAATACATAGATCTCCATATCTCCATTTCTTCTAATAGAGATGCCAGGAAAGGTATGGGAGCAAAGCTGGGCATCTGGATCTACCACAGAGTCTGGTCTTTGTATCACCGTTCTGTGGTCTGTCCATGGCCAGCAAGCAGCCGTTTTAGTTTGGGCAGCTGTCAGAAAGCAGGTTTAGACCTGCTATGGGAAGTCTGTGAGAAAGTCTCATTCTCCAGGTGGACCACTAGATTGTTCAGTTACCAAAATAACATTTTAAAATATTACAGTGTTAAGAGTTTCTAGATTCATCTAAGCTCTGATATGCCAGGGAAATGCAGCTACCGTGGTCTCAACGCATGGAATGTCTAGATAAAATTGAGCGGTATCTCAGACTGAATCTACACCATTGCAATAAACCATGGAAAGTAGCATGGAAAGTAAAAATGGAAACCATAACCTCCAACTTATACTATGTATTTCCAAACATCTGAAGACTTCTTGTGGCTTGAATAAGGAGAAATTCATTTTCCTTCACATGTTCATTCCCATGGTAATGTATATCGCCTTTGGATGAATATAGGAACTCTTAACACTACAATATTTTAAAATGTTATTTTGGTAACTGAACAATCTAGTGGTCCACCTGGAGAATGAGACTTTCTCACAGACTTCCCATAGCAGGTCTAAACCTGCTTTCTGACAGCTGCCCAAACTAAAACGGCTGCTTGCTGGCCATGGACAGACCACAGAACGGTGATACAAAGACCAGACTCTGTGGTAGATCCAGATGCCCAGCTTTGCTCCCATACCTTTCCTGGCATCTCTATTAGAAGACATAAGTGTATTAAGTGAATCCACAACATCAGGATTTAGTCCACCCTGGTGGAAAATGCCATCTTTTGTTAGGCCTGTCCAAGCAGAGGACACAAAAATAAATAAGTGAACAAACATAAATCTGAAATCGAGAAAAGTAATACAGTGGTGCCCCGCATAACGAGCAATTTGTTTAACGGCGAATCCGCATAGCGATGTCTTTTTTGCGATTGCAAAAGCGATTGCATAACGATGTTTTAAATGGGTAAACATCGCTTTGCGATGATTGGTAAGAGTTTCGCTTACCGATTTTCGCATAATGATGTTTTTAAACAGCTGATCGGCGGTTGCAAAATGCCCGCAGTGTTTTTGCATCCTTTCCTCGCTTACCGGGCAACGAAAATGGTGGCCACATGGAGGATTTCCACATAATGGTGAGTTTTTTGCCCA